CTCATCACTACATGCAGGAAATAAAGCTACATCCACATCCATCCAGTCAGAGAGAAGATCCTGATTCACTACTGCTTCAGTTCAGATCAATACAGTGAGCAGATGAGTGAATCATCATGTAGAGAGATGATGAAGAGTGGAGGCACATCTCTCTCCTCACAGCTGATGAGCTCTGTCTTCACACTGATGATTGATCAGACTGTGATTAGATGGTCTGATGAAGGTCTAATCTGTGTTCTAATGCTCTGATATTTTCAGTGCAGTCCTGATGAAGAGCTTCCAGTGGTGGTAATTTTAACACTATAAAGTCTGGTCAGTAGGGGGGGCTCTGCACCCACTGATCCGCCTCAACCTCTGCCTACCAACACAGCCATTGGCTCACGAGCTGCTGAATGCTGTCGTTTTATTGGCTCCTCACTGAAACATCTGCATGAATGAGGCCGTGTGTCAGATATCAAACACTAAACCATCTCCAACACTGAATATAAACACTGAACATCAGTGTTGACAGTCCAGAACAGCAGAGCGTGATATAAAAACAGGGCGGTGCTGCGGTTCTGAACGATCGGCATCTGGATCAGTGAAGAACACACATCAATACAAAAGGTAGAAAAGCATTTAAAACTTTATTTAAAGTTTACATACTTGAGCAATTCTTATTAAGACACTCCAATATTTTCCATTAAAAAAACTCTGTACAGTGGAATTAACAGAGAGACAAGTAACTGCACAGTAACTGCAGCTGTCAAATGGAACTGATGTGACTGAGCTGTTTTCTCATGTTCTACTGCAAATTCACAGCCTCTGTGTCTGCATTAAGATGTTCTCTCAACCACTGAAATGGAAAGGTTTAGTCTGAAAGTGAAGGTGAAGTAGAAAGTAGTCTAGTTGCCTTCACTTCTATCTTTACACCTTTTAAAAGTACAAATTAAAGCCAGAATATCTCCATTATTCCACAACTGAAGTTTATCTCTGGATAAATGTGAAATTAGTGGGTTTGAATAATGTGTCTGTCCTACAGTCAAAAACAGCTCATTACAGAAAATGTGCAACACTTTTAAGAAGAAATAAATATTATAATTTTGGCGAGTTGAACACTGTACTGATATGCAGTCATGTTGTTTATATTCATATTCACTGCATATTGCATGCTGGAGATGACAGCTTGGTGAAGGTAAGGGTTAAACTATGGAACAAAAAAAAAATAAATAATAGGGTTATAATGGAAAATTGGCACAATTTAAAACAAGGGGCTCATTTTCAGAAGGCCCAAAATTACTACCAGCACTCCTGAGTACAAATTAGCGGTGTATAACTGTGGTATATAACTATTTCAGTACTATATAACTGTGGTATAATGGTATGTAACTATTTCAGTACTACTTCAGTATACTTTTTTGCAACGGAAGGTTAGCAGACTGCTAACAGGCTAACTGAGTCTTTCAGTAATGTACAAAAACAGACTTCAGATTCAGATTTTTACAAATGGAGTCATAGCAAAACCACAACAAACACAAAATAAAAAACATGCTAATTATATTTAAGCTAGAATTGGCGTCAGGTGTGACTATATAATAGCACTACCTTAGCGATGCATATAGTGTAACCTGTGTTACTATTGTGTGGCTATTGCATAAACAGTAGCTTGTTATTAGGAATGTATCAATAGCATTTAAAATCTTGCTGATTTTAAATAAAGTCCTACAGTCAGCTATGCTACATTAGTTACCTTGGATCGAGTAGCACCACAGTGGGAAGAGCAGGTTTGGTCCCATATCAGAAAAGCATTTCTGTAAGTAAGTAAAGTATGTTTCATAGTTTTGATCCTTGTCTGTCTCTTTCAACAACAGTCACTGTAGCACAGTAACTGCAGGAAGCACATCCGAGGAGCTCACATGTTGAGTTTTTCATCTTGTTTTTTTTTTGCCTGGTTGAGCTGTAGTTGAATGTCCTCTAAAGCCAGACCTTTGGTGATTCACACTCTAAGTTTAGATAAACTACCATGTACAGACTACAGTTTATATACTCACTGTGAGAAAATACTTGGTCTGATTGACATGCTACATGAAACACAGCCTTTACAGACAGCTCTGTCTACAGACAGTTATCAATAAAGCTGTTTCATTCAAAACAACACCCAGCGCACCGAGTACTGAGCAAACACACAAAGAAATTGAGCTACAGCAGCTCTGATAACTTGTGCTACACTGTGCACTGAAACTAAAACCAGGCAGTGATGTACACAGTACGACAACACAGGCTCTCTACAGCCTATTTTACAAAGACGGTTTTAAAACATGTAACGTAACATAACTTCTTTTCAGAGTAAAGTTGGCATGTACAGAGTGTCGTAGCTAATGTCAACTTTTTTGTCTCCATTTTGCTGGCCTATGTGTCTCCACCCATAGTGGGGAAGAGGTTGAGACTATGTGTGACTAAAAAAACGGGCTAAAATCACACACTGTATGCCTGGAGCAAATATACCAAAGTAGAATGTTTAAAGTGACCAACAACTTTGTGTCCAGCTGCCACGGAATCAGTAATACTTCGCTATGTGACTAAACCCTCGTCCACTGTCAGCTTGAGTCATTTCTTTATTATCCCAGCAGTGACACTGTGCTTACATCACATGGTATCAGCTGGTATCAGATGTTGGTATCAGTGCGTTTTTATGATCGTGAGTCGAGTAAATAAGTGCAGTATCAGATCGATACCTGATACCAGTATCAGTATCAGTATCAGTGCATCTCTACTTTTTTTTAATTTGATTAAACAGCTGACAGAGCTTTGTGATTTTATGACTGTATCTGGCTCTTAGTTTAAATTAAATGTTTATGGAAAAAACAGAATATCCATTATGAATATTAATCATTTCATCATGCTGCACTTTTCTAGCTGTGTAATGGGCTGCAGCCTTAATTCTATAAAATGTCACTTGTTAAAAATGCCCAGAGAGTTTGAACTAAAGGAAGTCCAGTCTGAAACTGAGTGTATTATAGTGCAGTGGTCAGTTTCAGAATGGTTTATAAGGCAAGTTTACAAATAGACAAACAAATGCAACATACTTAATCCAACAAATATCAAAATGTGAGATAGTTTTGAGATCCTACAGAATAAAAGTCTGAAGCTGCTACTATGACACTTTCCCAGTGTTCATCATACTGAAAGCAGAATGAAGTAAAAACAGAAAAATAAAACCAAAAAGGGCAATAATTTCCAAATTAAAAGTTAATTAATAAAGTTGTTTGTGTAACGTAAGCAGTTCTGACTCTTCACTGAGTCGATTCAGAGCCGTTCATCATCTGCTTCTTCATCTCTCTCCTAGAAATCCAAGCACAAAATGACCATTACTGTAGAAAATATATTGATATGTTTAAGATTATTATTATTATTATTATTATTATTATTATTATCATAATTTGACAGTTATTTCATTGAATTCAGTGATTCTATTATACAAAAACAACTAAATAATTCATTTTTAATGTGATGTAAGATTCATAAACGCTCACTTACACACTCGGGAGGTTCCCAAACACCTGGGGGAGCCTGATAGGCTGATGATGTAGAATACAAATTAACATCAAAATTACACCAAATGACATCATCATATGTACAGTGTCGTGTATAATTATGCAGTAAAAAGCTCAGATCCGGATCATCATGTCATCCTATCTGACTACCATTATAGTGGGTCAGGGATTACATGAGGGCTGTGCAGCACCACCATGGCAGCACACTAACTGATGTGTCAGGCACGTCACCACTATCACACTGGCTACATAAAGACAATAGCATATTAGCATGCAGTACTTTTTCCAAATGAACTGTGTCCCACTACAGTATAATAATCATATTATAGCCCATTGCTGACAGCAGTACAATCACCTTTCTGCACAAATCGACACACTGTAGTGGTAAAAACAAAACTACAGCAACATTAAACACACATTAAAAAGAGATTAACACAAACCCAACAACCAGTACAACACTTCCTTATAGAGCATCCACTACTCTGATGAGATATACAGGTTTACAGAACCCTCAGGCACATCTTTTTATATCTAGAACTTCAGATTCAAAGTACATTCACAGGAACACCAGATCAATGTAAAAAACAACAAAACAAAACTCTGAAAGCTTGACCAGGTAATGGAGGACGGTGGAACAGTTGCTAAGCAGTGATTGCAGGAGAAAATGTTGTGACGTTTAGGGATGCTGTGGAGAGCAGAGAGGTTGAAAATAGTTCATTTTTTGTTGGTCTGCTTGTAAAGCTCACATCACGATTCAGAACAACTGTTCAGATTTTTTCATAATTGCTCACTGGGGCTCAGGCCACAAAACCCACTGGATGATCTGGGCCTGAAAAAGAAGACCAGCTACAAAAGTACTACAGAAGTATCACTTAGCAGTAACCTTAACAAGCTTCAGTTAGTCCAGAACTCTGCAGCCAGAGTTCTCAGCAAAACCAGGAAATTTGACCACATTAGCCCAATTTCACATCAGCCCTACCAGTCTGTGTTCGGGACTCAGACACAGCCTCCATCTTTAAGTCTAGGCCTTTGGTTAATTTGTTTTTCTAACTATGTCCCTCTCATCCCCCCTCCCCCCTACCCACTTCCCCCTCCCCCTCTCTTTCCCTGAGCTAAGCAGCTGCCTGTCCTAAGAGGGTCTGACCTGAGATGCGGCCGGCGCACTGCACAGTGGTGTTAAACTGTATCCACTTATACTGTTTTGTGTCTGTCCTCTTATCCGGTGTCGACCAGAGGAGGATGGGTTCCCCTTTTGAGTCTGGTTCCTCTCAAGGTTTCTTCCTCCTTTTGAGGGAGTTTTTTCTTGCCACTGTCGCCAAGGCTTGCTCACTGGGGGCTCGGACCCGGATTCTTTGTAAAGCTGCTTTGTCACAACATCTGTTGTAAAAGGTGCTATATAAATAAATTTGACTTGACTTGACTAGCAGAGCCTCATTACACATTCAGATTAGTATCTGGTCCACATTCACTGGACTGTGTTAACATCTGTAATCCACAGTTAATCTTCAGTTAGTAATCCAGTGGTGTTGGGACGTGTTTATTTCCTTCTCTTACCAGACGGCTGCTTCTTCTTCATCCACACAAAAACTCCAACACTGATGATAATGAGAACAGTCGCTACTGCAGCAATGATGATACCAAGTGAGACTCCACCTGAAACTAAATTGGTTAAAGATCATTATTATTATAATTGGCCTCATCAGTGATTTTAAAACTGAAAATACTTCTTATTTCTCTCACCGCTGTGATTAATCACTGGTAGCACCATCTCCTTCTCCAGGCTGCTGTGCTGAATGATGCAGGTGTAGCTGTGTTTGTTCAGCTCCTCAGGTGAGGCAGTCAGAACGCTCCTCTTCTGGAAGGTTCCATCCTGGTTGGGTAGCGTCTCTCTGAGCTCCACGTCCTCATGCAGATCCTCTCCATTCTTCTGCCAGGAGATCATCACTGCTTTGGGGAAGAAACCTGTAGCATGACACACCACTGGAGAAGAAGAGTCCTTCTGGAACACCTCAGGAGAGACTGGAGAGAGAGAGAGAGAGACAGAGAGAGAGAGAGAGAGAGAGAGAGAGAGAGAGAGAGAGAGAGATGGGTAAACATTAATAATAAATTAGGACATTATGACAGGTATTTATCAGTGTGTTATGTTTCACTGGTGTTTCTCAGGTCTGTTACTGATGAAGACTAATGATCACACATCTCATCTCGTCTCATGACTGTCTGAACTACAACTGCTACCTGATACCTACTTCAGGAAGCTCTTTACTGACTGCAGCTCTGCATGTAACACAGCTGCTCCTTGTAAACTGGTGTTAAAGCTGAGTGGTCTGGGTCTGTGTAGCTCCATCTATAACTGGGTACTGGACTTTCTGACCAACACACAGCAGGCAGTGAGATTTGAAAATATGATCTCAGCCACACTGACTTTAAGCATGGGCACACTACAGGGGTGCTGCATCAGCCCCCTGTTATACAGCATGTTCACCCATGACTGTGTAATCAAACACAACAACAGCAAAATTATGAAGTCTGCATATGACACTGTGACACTGTGACTGGACTCATAAACAATGAGTCTGCCTACAGGAGGAGATACAAGATCTGTCTGTAATCAGTTCAGTCAGTTCCAGTAATCTGGAAGTGAGTGTCACCAAAACCAAGAAGCTCATTGTGGACTTTAACAAAGGATCAAACAGAGAATATCAAACTCCCATCTCTTTTGTCCCTGAACACCAGCAGCGCCCTCAAAAAGGCACAGCAGTGAATGTTCTTCTTAGCTTTTTGATAAGCACATCTGTTATGGTTAACGTTTACTGCTGCACCTCAGGACACTTATGCATCCCCATGCCAGATGAAGTGCATCATCTCCGATGCCTCACACCCAGTGTATACATGTTGCTGAAAATGAATGGGACTCTATGGGAAGAATGAGGGATGAACAAACAACATGTAGGGGTGCGGGTCACTGTAGCTGTGAATTAGAGCTTGGGGACCTGTGCTGAGCAAGTACATGCATTTTGTTGGCTGTCAGTCAAAGGAAAGTATGTGTCTTGTTTGAGGGTGAAAATGAATGGGACTCTATGGAAGGAATGAGGGATGAAAAACGATACATAGAGGAGTGCAGGTCAGTTTGGCTGTGGATTAGAGCTTGAGGACCTGCCCTGAGTGGGGACATTGTGTTCTCTATTGGAGAAATGAAGGATGGAAAAAAAGGTCAAACTGATGAGTGCAGGGAAAAACCTCTGCAAAATTCCATTGTTACTCAGAAACCATGCATCAAAAATCTGTATACAAGCCTGAATCACACAATCAGACCAAGCAATCAGGAGTTGGAACGGTGTTGATATCTCGAAACCTGCGGGATGAGTTACAAGACAAAAATCCGGCAGAAAAATGAAGAATAATAAAAACTTGAAAAAAAATAATATAAATCACATAGCAATATAGTTGCAATGCACAACCATAATTATTACTAGCTTGCTAAAAGACTACTGTTACATGATTGACAATGAAAATCTGTGAGTTAAACTTCACCTGTAATCATTCAGTAAATGTAGCTACTTCATCCAGAAATATATAGTGCAACAATTGAAGAAGAACGTTTCTCAACATAAAGCAACAAAGACTTTTTACTTTTTATCGTCTACGATACATAATATCATTATAAGATTCAGAGAATCTGGAGAAATCTCTGTATGTAAGGGACAAGGCCAAAAACCAGTATTTGCTGGCTGTGATCTTTGGGCCCTCAAGCAGCACTGCATTAAAAACAGACATGATTCTGTAGTGGAAATCACTGCATGGGCTCAGAAACACTTCTGAAAACCACTGTCTGTGAACACAGTTCATCACTGCATCCACAAATGCAAATTAAAACTCTAAAACCCAAAGAAGAAACCAAATATAAACAGGATCCAGAAACACTGCCACCTTCTCTGGGCCTGAGCTCATTTAAAATGGACTGAGGGGAAGTGGAAAAGTGTCCTGTGGTCTGACAAATCAAAGTTAGTCAATCTCCTTAGTTCTCAAAGCTTACAGAGTGTTGTTAAAAGAAGAGGTGGTGAAACACAGTGGTAAACATGCCCCTGTCCCAACTTTTTTGGAATGCATTGGTGGCATCAAATTCAAAATTGGTATATATTTTTCAAAAAACAATAAAATTTCTCAGCTTCAACATTTGATATGTTGTCTTTGTTTTTTTTTCTCTTTAGTCTTCTAGATGTTTTTTTTGATACTATGTAAAGCCTCCTTGGGTTTATGAAAAGCACTGTATAAATTTAACTTATTACTTATTTTTATTATTATTGTTATTATTAATATTATTATTATGATTTGTAGTATTTTCCTTTAAAAATATGGTTTAAATGATTTGCACATCATTGCATCCTATTTTTATTTACATTCTGCACAGCGTCCAAACTTTTTTGGAAATGGGGTTGTAGAAAAACCTACATTGGAAATCATTTCTGTCAACTTCAAGTATGTAAATGTAACAGAAGAACTACTGGCTTAAAATTATGATTAGCAGCAGAAGATTGTTATAAAGGGAATTAAGGGTGTGTTGGTGGAGGATATGGGTCAGGTTTAGCTCAGGACCCCAGTAAAGCTAAGATCAGCACAGTAACAGAAACAGATCAGCTCACACACTTTACCTTTCCTCTCCAGAGTGGATCTGCCATAACCCACATACTTCTGTAACCACTCGATACATTCAGTCTCCAGAAAGGTCTTATGGCGTGTGGCTTTAGGTGTCGTCTCCCACTCCTGTTTTATAATAACAGCTTTATCATTGGCTGCTGTCCATGTCACAGTATTCAGATCCAGACTGAGGAAGTCTTCTCCATCATAACCAAACCGGCTGTATCCACTCTTAGTTCCATCATCATCACAGCCACACGTCCACTGCCATGTGTGAATCCCTGCAGAGACAAATATGAACTTATCACACTGTCATCTTCCTCTCACTCTTCATTTAAACATCAGTAGGACAAAAAAAGTGTATTTACCACTTACTTTGTTATTTTAATTTTTGATTTTCTATTTATTAAAATATACAAACTATGTAATATCATTCATATTATTTAGCTTTTTTAAATTAATGTAATTTTTGCATGTATTTATCTTATTTATTTATTTATTTATATATTAATTTATGTTTTGTAACGTTTTTTGTATTTTTTTCATATTTATATTTTTCATTTTGTCACACCTCCCTCCTGCATGGCTGGAACTACAGCCGACACAGCCGCCTCAAACTACAATTCCCAGAACCCCTCGCTGATTCACATGACTTAGGACTCCAACAGATCAACCTATCAGCGCTCAGCTTCACCAGATTTCTGATTATGCACACCTGTTTTCCTCTGTATTTAAACTGCCTGTTTCCTGAATCCCATTGTCAAGTATCATCTCTACTATAAGCATTCTGAGCAGTTCTTTCTTGTCTGTTTGCCTGCTACTGTGTATGACCTGGTTTCCATCTCAACCTTCCCTTTTGTCTAGTTTTGGATCTCTGGTTTTTGGCCTCTTGCTCTCGTTTCCTGACTGTGATTTTGGATCAACCCTTTGTTGTTAAAGATCTTAACTCAAGCCTCGTCTGTGAGGGTCTGGTTCTGTCCGCCACTGATACCCATCTGCTACTGCAGTTTCTCCAGATCTGGCTATCAATTTTGTTATTTTTTGTAGATTTTCTGTGCCTCTGAGTTAGAACATGCATAGAACCTTTCCAGGAATGTGAAGGAGGCTAAAAGGACTCAACAGGCAGCATCTTATGCAGCAGTCAAAAGAAATTCTGAAAGATGAGAGGTTAATGAAAAATATCAGTGTGGAAAAGGTTTTAGAGTCATTTCTGAGGCTTTGGTACTCCAGCAAGTCATAGTCCACAGTCGCTTGGCCAGTTTCAGCTGTGTCATCGTGCCTCTAATTTCCCAGTACCATTCGATTTCCCAATGGCCTACCAAAACACTTCCAAGAGCACAGTGACGACTCATCCAGGGAGTCACAAAAGAACCCAGTTGAATATCTAAGGAACCTCAGGCCTTACTCGCTTCAGATAAGGTCAGCCTTCATTCCACCATCAGAAAGAGACTGGACAAAATGTGTCCATGTTAAAGCTGCAGGGTGAAACCAACTGTTAACCAAGCGGAACATAAAAGCTCATCCAATATTTGTTGACCCCAAAGCTTTTAGGAATAATGTGGACGTCACATATCCATTCATCTTGTAGCTGATCGCCCTCTTCCTCTTTTACTCTCAACTGCTCCAAGCATAAAGGTCTTTTTCAGTGAATTAGTTTAGACTATGTCCAAAGTAACAGCTCAGTTTGGCTGGCTTTGAGTGATGGGTGAGACTTGATTTAATCGGAGATCCATTTGTTTGTTTATTTGTTTTATTGTCATCTAAAGTTCTCAGCAACAACAAAGGCATCTATATGTTTCCTGTATCACTTGTTTATTGTCCAGCTTTCACGCTCATACAGAACCACAGAGTAGACCACAACCTGGACAATTCTGATCTTTGTCTGTAGAGACAAATATTTGTATAAGATCTTTCTAAGCTCCTTCATTCTTGTCTGCTGAGTGCCAGTCTGTGTCGAATTTCTTAAGTCCGGGATCCTTTGTTATTAATAACTGATCTGAGTGGGCAGCCTTGTCTTACTCCTTTGCCAGCATGTAGCCAGCCTGTTTGTCCATTTTCTGTTATAACTGGGCAGTAAATTGGAGCTGAGCGCTCACAGACATCAGAATATTATATAATTTTTTTTTCTTCCATTGGATTTTTCTAAAACTGGACATCTATTTAATGGACAGTAAGCCTCAATGTAAGGACTTCACTAAAGGAGTACGGTCTAAAACTGTTAAATGTGATTTCACTCAAGATACAGTTGTTTTATCCTGCCTCTAATTTATTAAATATACAGAATATACAGCTTTAGTTGATTTGATCTCTTGTTCAATTGAAATATCTATGGTATTCCAAATCCATGTAAATATGAAGATGTTGAAGAAGGAAGAAAAAAAGAGACGATGATGTGCTCATGCCAGTGATAGCTGCATAAATATACAGTACTGTGAGAGACCAGACATACAGTATTGTCAGAGACCACCCTTCCATGTATTCAAATTCCAGTCAAAACAGCCAATGAGTACATTCATTTTTTCAGCATCATGAAAAAAACACAAAGATCTATTTAACTGAAAATTACACAGAAGCCTCAACAACTAATTATAATAACATATTTATCAGTATTCAGTGAGTCACTCTTTACCTTTTTTACAGCTTCCATTCTTTTCAGAAGACTCACTTTCAGTTTCTCCAAGAAATCTGCAGACACACCTCCAAAGTGCTTCTTACAATTTAAGCAATCCCAAAATACACTATATTGGCAAAAGTATTCGGTCGTCTGCCTTCACATGCATATGAACTTGAGTGACATCCCATTCTTAATCCATAGGGTTTAATATGATGTCAGCTCACCCTTTGCAGCTGTAACATCTTCAACTCTTCTGGGAAGGCTTTCCACAAGGTTTAGGAGTGTTTATGGGAATTTCTGACCATTCTTCCAGAAGCGCATTTGTGAGGTCAGACACTGATGTTGGACGAGAAGGCCTGGCACTGTTCTTGAGCTAATCTGAAGACCACATGAAGTTTGGAGGTCTGTATTGATTGACTCTGCAGAAAGTTGGCGACCTCTGTGCACTATGCACCTCAGCATCCGCTGACCCTGCTCTGTCATTTTACGTGGCCGACCACTTCGTGGCTGAGTTGCTGTCGTTCCCAATCGCTTCCACTTTGTTATAATACCACTGACAGTTGACTGTGGAATATTTTATTGTACTGAATACTTTTGGCAATATAGTGTAACTGACTGATGGTGATTCTTTCATGTCATTAGTGTCATTCATACGACCAACTGTTACTCCCAAAGATCTCAAATTTAGACCTTCAGTCCATAAAACATCACTCCACATCTCAGATATCCAGGTCCTGTGTTCTGGTGCAAATTTTCTTTTTGTCTACTTCCTCTTTTCAGTAATGTCTTCTTGATCAGCTACACATCCTTTCAGACCCATAGCGCTGAGTCCTCTTCTCACAGTGGAAGGATGGACAGAAACACCTGTGGATGTTTTCAGATCTGAAGCAGCTTGATTTTCTCCTCTCTCTCAAAGATGAAAGCTTTAAGTGCTGTTTATCTGATGGGGACAGTTGATGGTGGTCCTCTTTTCCCTGTAGCTTTTAATCATTTTACCCCTTCATGTCTATTCTTCTCAGATATATCTCCTTTAGCCATTTTACGTGCATATGAGAGAGAGGTGTGTGAGGCGGCTGAGGTAAATAGCTTGTACATTATGGCTGTTTTAACTGGACATTAAATGAAATATAATAAAAGGGTCTCTGACTGTTGCACAGTGCTGTATATACACAAACATGCATATATGAATGCAGACACATACCTTCAGTGTGACTGAAGAGCTGCATTGTTTTATTTATACTGTCTTTGAAGGCTTTCTGATAACGATGTGCTTCCTGTGTTATTATGTTCCAGTGCTCTTCATCTGTATAGTTCTTTATCCACTCTGCCTTCAGGGTCATGTTCCTGCTGTTACTATCATAATACCAGCCTTGAAATCCATCCGACTGACCGACAGCAGTGAACTCTGGGAAGCTGGTTCCTGGTGTGATGCCAGTGAAGAAGAAGTCCAGAAAGTGGGCGACTGTAAAGATAAAAAACGATCATTTACATTATTTCTCAGACAACTATAACTGGAAATCAAAGGCTGCTGCGCTATTTAAAAGATAATAATAATAATAATAATAATGTGTGTGAGAACTTTAGAAAGTTAGTTACCATGCTGCCTTAAAATTCTTAGTTAAGTGAACACATAATAAGTTGACAGAGCTGTTAACGTACTATTAGATGTTCAGTTAACTCAAATTTAAGGCTGTCTAGTAACTACAGTCCTGCTCACCATTATTGGCACCCCTTCCTTTTTTGCATAACCTGTACAATATCTTCAGAAATAAATGTAAATGTACCAAAGTTATATCTTCAGGATTTTTTAATTGGAGGTCCAAAGTAATACAACAAAAAAAACATTGTTTTTCAACTTGCATGTTGCAATTTTAAAGAAGAAACAGAATAAACAGCATGTGCAGCAATAAAGGCACCACTTGTTAATATTTGGTTGCACACCCTTTGGCTGTGATGACAGCCTCCAAACATTTCTTGTAGCCATCTATAAGCTTCTTGCACTTCTCAGCTGGTATTTTTTCCCACTCTTCCTTTGCAGTTTGTTCAAGCTCTTGAATGTTTGCAGGATTCTTTTTCCCAATGGCAGATTTCAACTCACCCCAAAGATTTTCAATGGGATTGAGGTCAGGACTCATTGCTGGCCATTTTAAAACAGTCCATTTTTTCCTTTTAAACCATTCCTGTGTACTTTTGGATGTATGCTTTGGGTCATTGTCTTGCTGGAATACCCATGATCTTTGGCTCAAACCAAGTTTTCTTACACTGGGTAGGACATTTCGCTCTAAAATCTCTTGATAATTCTCTGATTTCATGATTCCTGTGATACGGTCAAGGCCTCCAGTACCAGACGCAGCAAAGCAACCCCACAGCATTATGGATCCTCCACCATGCTTAACTGTTGGTAGGGTGTTCTTTTCCTTATAAGCTTCATTGCGCCGTCTGTAAACAAACTGTTGCTTTGCATTGCCAAAAAACTCTATTTTTGTTTCATCTGTCCACAAAACATTGTCCCAAAATGATTGTGGTTTGTCAAGGTACTCTTTGGCAAAGATCAGTCGTTCCTTTTTATGTCTTTTCTTTAGCAATGGTTTCTTCCTTGGCCTTCGCCCATAAAGCTCTGCATGGTTTAGTGTGCGGCGTATGGTACTTGTTAAAACCATGACCCCAGACTGTTCCAGGTTGGCCTTCAGTTCTTTGGATGTTTGCCTTGGTGTTTTTTCCACCATTCGCACCAACCTTCGAAGACTTCTCTTGTCAATTTTCCTCTTTCCCCCACGTCCAGGGAGGTTCTTGACAGTTCCATGCTTGGCAAACTTCTTAATAACATTGTGCACTGTTGAAACTGGGATACCAAGGTCTTTGGAGATGGCCTTATACCCTTTGGAAGTCTTGTGTTTGCTAATAATAGCACTTCTGATGTCCTCAGACAGCTCCTTTGTCTTCACCATTGTAACAAATGAACATGGCCCAACGTATGGCTTTTTAAAACCCTGAAGTCATCATTCATTGGATAATTCATGTCACATGGGCACTGAATTTGTCACAGGTGATTATCATTCGCGATTTACCACAGGTGAGTGAAAATGTGTTTCCATACTAATTTAATGTAAAGGGTGCCAATACCAGTGTCACAGCAAGCTTTAGGTTTTTTCTGTTTTTCCCTCACATTGTTCTTTGTTTTAAATTGTTGTTTATAGTTTGCTCTTTTGTTTTAAATATGAGTGCTCTATACAAAAAAAAACTGTTTCAGTTGATTAATTTTTTCAGGGGATATTCCACAATATCTACTTAAACTTCATGGGTGCCAATAATGATGAGCAGGACTGTAAGTTAATACACTAAGTTTTTTATGCATTTCTTTATTTTTTGTTTTTACAGTGTGTTCCTGAACTGATCACTGTGATTTCCAAATAAAAAAAGTTTAAGCAACAAACACACTATTATTATTATTATTATTATTATTTCATTAAATATATCATCTTTCTTAATTCATATATTTTGATATTTATAACATTAATATTAATCACATATTCCTTTCTGATATTTTTAAATACCCCAATTCCAAAAAATACAAAAAAACAAAGAAGAAAATTCCTAACAATTACAATAGGTGCAACTGCAGTGCTTGGACCCCTAATAAGAATTCTTTTAAGAATTACAGTAGGGTTCCCCTAATAACAAATCACAAAGTGGAAAACTGTAGTTTCCTTCTTAAGAACTGTGGCGGTCGAGAGGCGGAGTCTCCGCTTAGGCCCGAGCACATGATGTGTACTCCGCCTGTGATTGAACACAGCTGTGCTGAATCAGAGGAGGAGCCTTGGCTCTCTCTGCAGTGTCTCTACAAGATGATGGCCTGTAAGCCACACAACAGAGACAGAGACATTGACTTTCAAACACCTTTAATAAACCACTCCCCCCCCCCGTTCATGAGGTTCAGAGATATATCCCCCATATACATATATATATACACTATATTGCCAAAAGTATTCGGTCGTCTGCCTTCACATGCATATGAACTTGAGTGACATCCCATTCTTAATCCATAGGGTTTAATATGATGTCGGCCCACCCTTTGCAGCTATAACAGCTTCAACTCTTCTGGGAAGGCTTTCCACAAGGTTTAGGAGTGTTTATGGGAATTTTTGACCATTCTTCCAGAAGCACATTTGTAAGGTCAGACACTGATGTTGGATGAGAAGGCCTGGCTCACAGTCTCCGCTCTAATTCATCCTAAAGGTGCGCTTGCTGATGTAAGGCTTAGATGCAGCTGCTCGGTCTGTAGCGATTGACTCTGCAGAAAGTTGGTGACCTCTGTGCACTATGCGCCTCAGCATCCGCTGACCCAGCTCTGTCATTTTACGTGGCTGACCACTTCGTGGCTGAGTTGCTGTCGTTCCCAGTTGCTTCCATAATACCACTGACAGTTGACTGTGGAATATTTAGTAGTGAGGAAATTTCACGACTGGACTTGTTGCACAGGTGGCATCTGATCACGGTACCACGCTGGAGTTCACTGAGCTCCTGAGAGCGACACATTCTTTCACTAATGTTTGTAGAAGCAGTCTGCAGGCACAGGTGCTTGGTTTTATACACCTGTGGCCATGGAAGTGATTGGAACACCTGAATTCAATGATTTGGATGGGTGAGTGAATAATTTTGGAAATATAGTGTATATACCGCTTGCAACCGCAGAACAGCAACTCTATAGCAGATGTCTATTTGCCTCTGTCCCCGCTCTTGCACAGGGAGATACAGGACTGCAGCCCTCAGCCAATGCTGTCCATGGGGTAGCAACCATGGCCATTTAGATGACCTGTAATGAACTTTCTCCACCCCCCCTCCCAATTCCTAGCCTTAACCTCTTCAGTCCCTAACCAGACCCATAAAAATGTCAGCCCCGTCCTACCCCACTGTACTCCACCTGGCAGTGTTGGCAGAGAACTGTCCCTAGTACATGGTCCACACCATAAAGCCTCTGTTTTGTCCCACTTTAACTTTGCTGAGGACGCCTGCTCGTAGACTCTCACAGAATCTTCTAAAGACACATCATGTTGCTCATGTCATATAACCCCCTGCCCCCCTCATCAAATACTTTTACTCAAATGTATTATTTTGCCAAAGGATGCTTTTCCTGCCATGCACCGTCAAATTAAATATGGATACAGTGTTAGCTAAAATAGATGCAGCCATTCCTGTGCTAAACATAATCCAATGTACAGTTCCAGTCTCCACCCATAACAGTAATCTCCCTCCAAGAGAGGGACCGCAATAACTGATTCAGTTTAATAAAGAGCCCCACTCTATCCGTCCCTCTATCTGGGGCATATGCATTAATAAAAAAAATATGATCATAAATCCTTGCTTTTTATCATAAGAAAGCATCTCACTACTATTTCACTTGTGGACAGTACAGTAACTGTCAAAGACAGGGAAAAGAGAATAGCCGCGCCTGCATTAACATTAGAGCAATGACTGAGAATAGATTCTCCTTTTCAGCGTAAACCCCAATCACTCTCTGTATCTGAATTACTGTGTGTTTCTTGCAAGAAACATACATTAAGCTTCTTTAGGCAAAAGACACAGTACAGCAGAAAACGAGAAAAGCAGACAGAAGAAGCCCTTTTCCCGTGGGCACTCTGTTCACACATTCGTACAGTCAGAGCAGGTCCTCGTACCAGTCTTCATAGGTTTGGCTTTTCGGACTGCAGTTACATGTTTCTTCAAATGAAACCGCTGTTGCCACGAAAGAACGTCATAACCAGCACTTTTCTGGACCTTTAACAGTGAGCATCTGCACTTATCTAAGTCAGGAAAGAAATCACTAACTTCTACAGGCCTACCTTTAGTTTCATCCAAAAACGAGTTACATTGTTATCCACAATGTACAACATTTCACTGCTGAACTGACTGACCTCAATATCAGACACCTCAGATGGCCTGTCCTCCTCATCCATGTCCTCCTCCACCGACACAACCGACTCAGACTGCGACTCACTGACACAGACCCTGCAGTGCTACACCCCTCAGAGCTCGGCCCAGCCACCTCACCACTGTCCACTACAGCACAACCCTCACCACTGACCTGAACACCAGCTGCACGCTCGGCCTGACCAGCCTGCTGCTGATCCCCCTCACTCTCCTGAACATTCTCCACCACCAAACTTCATTCAATTCATTCACTCACCTCCACTCCATGGTACATCTCCTGAGCCAAGGATGTGCTCTCACCCAGGTCATGATGAGCTTTATGTGCGGGGTCCAACCCAGCAGCCTCAGCAGTCCCACTATGTCCAGCCTCAGTGGAGGCCTGGATCTCCTAAGCTGATCTCTGACCCTTACGTGGGCACAGAAACCGCGTGCGTCCGATATTACCGCATTCACAATATCTTAGACTGTCAGTACTAGCAGATACCATGTATGAGCTCAGCGGCATCAGTGCCCCTTTGCGATTAGCTCATTAGAAATAAACAGCAGGACAGTGGAGATGGTGACCTTTGTAGCCAGCGTCTGAGGCGGAGACACAAAGGTCTCCAAAACCCAAATACCGCTCTCAACCAGCTGATTGATCAAATGCTCATCTTTAAGAAAGACGACCACAGTTTATTCATTCATGAAGAGGAGTATATTTACTCATCACCAACTTTTTCGCCCACTGCTAAAAGCATGTCTTCTACTGTAGTTTCAGCAGCTGGGACACATCTAAATCCATTAGAAAGGGGCAGAGAGGGCACCATGGCCCCCTCACCACACACAGCAGCAACACTCACTACAGTGAACAGCAACAGTCAGAGAACAAAGTTAAAGAAAGATACAAATAAAAGGGAAAAAGTGAAAACACTCCAACACACCACAGCTCCCTCCCACACAGCACTCTCACACTGCCCAGCTCCCAGCATGCAACAGAGAGAGAGGGAGAGAGGGAGAAGGGCAGAGAGAGCCTCGAGGATTTCTAAAAAAAAAGGCACAGTTGTCTCTGTGTTGGGAGTGTGAATGAAGCTCTGTGGAAGACTCGCGCTGGTGTTTACGTGTCTGAGCCTCATCTGGTTTCCCAGTCAGGGTGGGCGGACCCCTCCCCTGACCAGATATTGGAGGGTGTTGATCTCAGTTGAAATATGCAGCTTGGGCTGATGAAAAACTGCATTCACCCTTTCATGTTCATCCCACATTTATAGAGACTCTGTGTTCAGACGATGGAAATAACATTATTAAATTATTGAAGTAATAAATATAAGATGATGAAGGTTTGTCCACTCATGAACAGTGTCTAAAAGTATTCACTCCTTTGGAAGTTTTCATGTTTTATTATAATAGACCTTTGGATCACAGTGGGTTTAAACAGATTGTGTCAATGTGAAAACAGATCCTCTTCAAAGGGATTTTAATTCATTACAAATATAAAATACATAAGGAAATACACTTTTAGTCTCTAGAAACAGGCACAGTTAGTTTCAAATAAAACATACATTTAAGTAGTGAATTCAGCTTTTTTAAATTTTCCATTTCTCATTTTTAACAATAAAACTGCAAATATTATGGACAAGAAGGTCCCGCTTTTTAAACACTCGGCCATGAATGACCGCAGGTTTTTTACAAAGACCACAACGTAAGAAGAGAAGTGGATGATAACGTCTTAGGCAGCGGCCACATCAATAAACACAATAAACTCATTGTGTTTATCAGACACGTGCCAGGAAAGATTGGATTAAAAATAAAAACAAGGACTGGATTGTCTGGACTAATACAAATATTCACCATAATTCACGTCAAACACATTCAGGCTATTAAAATCACTGTAATCTTCATCTAATAATAATGATAATAATAATTATTATTATTGTCATTATTATTGGCAAATGTCTGTCATTGTGGGAGGTAATAGAAGGTAACTTGTGTATCTATGAAAGCACCATTAATGCTGAAAGACATCACATTTTGGAGCAACACATGATGCCTTTTAGACATCGTCTTTTTCAGGGACGTCCATTCTTATTTCAACCTGACAACACCAAGCTACATTCTGCACATGTTACGACGTCATGGCTGTCTAATCAGAGAGTGCAGGTACTAGACTGACCTCTCTGTCTCCTACTGAAACCGTGTTGTGCGTTACAAATTGCAAAATATAATAACAAAGGCCCTGTATGGCTGTACATCTGAAGACTTTAATAACTGACGAAAAGGCAAAAAATGACACTCTAAATACAAATTATGAATAAAGATTGTTTGCAAAAAAACATTCCTGTATTGCAAAGCTTTTTAATAATCTAAGTTTTGGATGCAAGCACAGTTGGGTACATCTACACTCCCATAAAAAAAAGGGCCAATCCCAAAATCTAATGTTTTGTACTGATGATTTTGAACGGTCCGGATTTAAACCCTACAGAGAACATTTGGTTTCACATTTAACACAAACTAGCTTGACAATGTTTTTCAGCTGTTTGAAGCCGTCAGTGCTGAGCGGAAACCACATTTACCCCCAGACTTCAACATTAAATGGAATCAAAGGGAAAAGCTCTCCTATGGTCGATTAATCTATCAATTTGTTTAATGATTTGTTGTTACGGCCATTAAAACCTTAATGTTTTGCTGTATGCAAGCACACCATTCAGATGTAGGACACATGAATCAAAGTTGGTTTGGAGTCAATATCTCGAAAACTGCTGGAGAAGAAACGAGTAATAATAAAACGTAAGGACAACAATAGTGTGTTTGCTTCACACAATCACATTAATTATTACTGCTGAACATTACAGGCTGGAACATCGTCCCAGTCATACTGATGATTATAGCTTTTACAAACTCTGAGTACGCATTCCCAGCAGGATCAGAACAGTCAGGACATTTTTCACCACTGGAATTGATTACAGAAGCCTCCCACCAGAGGCAGTAACAGGAGCCTTCCTTTGGTTAGATGTAATATGTAATGTAATGTAATATTCATTTGGTTTCTGTACATATTGATTCATATTCTGTACAACAAAAAAATAGTATCTAGATTTAAGATACAACATGTTCCTTCATCTCCAACTGTGAACCTTAAATCAGTTCCCCAGGGAAAAAGTAATTGTACAATTTCGTAAAATAATGTTTTAAAACAGAAGAATAAAATATAAGGCTGGAATCGAGACAGAGTGTACAGAATCAGTGCAACCTAATAAAATATAACTACATTTGAATACAGTACAATTATGTTCTCTAACTAAAAATACTGAAGATGTACAGATGAATGCTCCACCACAGTGATGGTTTAGTACCTTTTTTCCTGAGAGTGCAACTATTATAGTAATATATTATAATCTAAAATTACCGTAATAGTGATTCGTATCAATATTTAACTGCTGAAATCTTTATCATTATCAGTCATTAGATAACTAATAGTCATTTACAGTGGGGTAACATGATATTTTATCGACATCAGGCAGGCCTGGATCATGAAGTTATTGCCCCAGGGCACGTCTGTTTGGCTTTTTTGGTTGTGAGGTTTCTTTTTTCATAGCATTGGTTGCTTGAGGACTTTGCAGCACCATGATGGAAGCTTACTAACCACTACAAATGCATATTAAGGAGTTTGTTTGTTTTTTGGAGGAACATTTTTGAACATTCTAACCAAGCTGTGTAATCTGTGATATACAAAAATAGAATCAGGTCATTTAGTGGTCTAATTTACAAGCAGGGAAACTGTTCAAACTCAACTTTAGCCTTTGGACTGACCTGCTGAGGTGAGATGAAGAGTGAAGATGAGGAGCAGCAGGGACTTCATGATGTATCCCATCTCTCACTGCGGACTGGAACCACAATGTTTATTAATAAACTCCTTAATCCGCACAAAATGACCAGTCCATGTCTTCAAGCTCTTAGAGATCTTTTTGTTTTCTGCTCTGGAGACTCAGCAGGAGCAGCAGGGGGAGTTTACACACAGCAGACTGAGATTTAGGGACTCTGGAGCTCTGACCAATAGGAAATAAGGAGGAATCATGAGCCACTAAGCTCAGAGCCAAAGAGGGTGTTAAACTCGAAAGTGAGACTGCAGAGGAGGATCTTATATCTCTGTCCCGCCTCCTGCAGCAAGTCTGACCTCAGCTGATATCACAATGCAGAGATTAATTATTATAGCTTTCAAAGCTGACCACTCAGCTGAATGACCCAGGTTAGCTATGATAAAAGGCATATGACAGTAAAATAGAGACAATTATAGCTTATTAATCAAAATTGTGATTATATTGATTACACAATTATGCTATATAAGTTCTTTTACTGGTATTATTATTATTATTATTATTATTATATACTAAAAATAAAAAGGATCTTTTTGAAAATACATTAAAAATAATTTTAAAAAGTATAAAATGTAAGTATCATTTTCGCAAGTGTTAATTTAGGGGTTATGGTTTGGGACAGACACCTCCTAATAGAAAAACCCTAGAAATGATAACTTTGTATATATTTGACTTTGTATATATATATTACTGTGTCAATTAACCCCTTAAATGCAAGGCCTAAAGTTTTATTACACACTTCTATAACCTAAGAATTCACACTTAAAACGTTTCGGTCTTCAAGGGTTCTTTAGCAAAGAAAATGATTCTGTATAGAACTATGAACACTCAGTGAACCATTTGCGTGATTAAATGGGTCTCTGCATGGTGAAATGGCTCTTCAGACTGATGGAGAATGTGCTGTAGATGGTTTTTGATAAGGGTTCTATACAGCACCACAAGGGGTTCTGCTATTGTTAGAATATCAAGCTTGTCACAAAAGAAGAACCCTTTTTGGCATCTTTGTAGATCCACATACACCACATTCTCCATCAGTCTGATGAGCCATTTCACCAGAGACCCATTTCACCAGAGACCCACTTAATCACGCAAATGGTTCTCTGAGTGTTCAGTTCTATATAGAACCATTTTCTTTGCTAAAGAACCCTTGAAGAACCATCATCTTTTAAGAGTGTAGCTCAAGCAGTTTGCATTAATGTCCCTGTAGTTACTGAAGAATAAGTGTTAGTATGTAATAAGCCTGGGATTTTAAGGGGTTTACATAGATCAGAACAGAACCCTGTAAATATCTAAGAGCTGAGCACTTTTTAAACAGTTTTTTTTTTGTGGGAGCACAGTTTGAACTAATTCAGTAGAATTGTGTGTGTACAGTGAGGAGGATTTCAGTCATCTGGCAACCCGGCCACTCCTTCAGCTGCTGCTGAGCTCTCAGTGTACAATTGATTAGTTATTCACTGCATAAATCAACAATATTATTTCATATTTACATCTGTAATTTTATCATGCAGATCTACAATCTTTATGGGAAAGAAAGTGTTGTAATGCAGCTCTAATTTATTCTTTAGAATTTAAATTCCTGAATTAATTTAACATTAGCAGTTTGATGTGTGATTTAAAAAAAAGTGACTTTTTCCTTTTAATTTTTTCAAAGGTATTGTGTCATTTTGTCCAGCAGATGGTGCTGTAGGTCTGATTCAGTTTTTAGATGCTCTGAGCTTGACTGTCTAATAAAAGGTGAACTGAGTTCCACAGAGTTCCACAGTTTAGAAGCAGAATAACTGAACGAGTCTCTCCAAGTTTTCTGTATTTTACAAAAGGTGTTTGCAGAAGGTCAGTATGTGCAGATACTTAAAACAAACAGACATTCTGTAATGTAAACAGGTGCTTTAAGGTCATTTAGAGCCTTAAAAACTACTAGCAGAGCTATAAAATATCCTGAACGATACAGGCAGCCAGTGCAGCTCTTTTAAAATGGGAGTGATCTGATTTCCCTTTGTTGTTTGCGTGCTGCTGCGTTTTGTACGAGTTGCAAGGGATGTATTGTATTGTAGAAAGTCCAGTAAGAAGATCATTACAGTGATCAACTCTGCTGTAACAAATTCATGAACAAGTTTCTCTGCGTCGCTCTGAGAGAGAAAAGGCTGAACTTTAGTGATGTTTCTCAAATGATAAAAAGCTACTTTAGTGACTGTGTTTACATGCAGATGAAACAGAGCTCAGAGATCACACCCAGGTTTCACACTGCAGGTTTGATATAAGAAGCTAAAGAACCAAGTTTCCCATTAAGCAGCTTTCTCTGAGTTTCTGTACCAATGATCTGTATGTCCATCTTTTCATGATTTAATTGTAGAAAATTTTGCGACATTCACTGAGAGATATCTGATACACAGCTGGTCAGTCTGTCTACAGAGTCTTGATCATCAGAAGGAACAGAAATGTATAGCTGGGTGTCATTATTATAGCTATGAAAATTTATGTTTTGATTCCTAATGACATCACCTAGAGGTAGAATGTACAAAGAGAAAAGCAAAGGCCCTAAAACTGAACCTTGAGGGACTCTTTTTGACTGCCTATTACCTAAATAAACCATTCTAAAACTCTGCTGGAGAGACCGACCCAGCATGCAAGACACTGGATTAAAATCTTGCGGTCATTGGTATCAAAAGCTGCACTAAGATCTAATAAAGCCAGAATGTCTCAGCACTATATTTAGAATGAAAACCTGACTGAAACTTCTCATATAACTTGTTTGATATTAGATACACATTTCATTGTTTGAAAACAACTTTTTCTAGCAGTTGTAAGCGCCTGATAATTAATGACAGAAAAAGATGTCCTTACTGATGTAGGTGGCTCATCAGGAACATTATAGGAGCTTGTTTCAGTCAGCTGAGCTACACCCTGTCGTATCAGGTCTATTTTATTTTGAAAATAAATTGCGAACTCTTAACAGATTTTAGAAGATAAATCATCATGAGACTCACTAGCAGAAAAGCTGGGGTTAATTAGTTGGTCTGCGGTGGAAAAAAGGATTTTGGTATTATCTTTGTGTTTATTAATTACACTGGAAAGGTTTGACTGTCTGGATATTTTTATAGCATTATTATAGACTGAGATCTGTTCTTTGAGAATACCATAACCTGCGGTTTAGTTTTCCTCCATAAGCGTCTGATTTACGACAATTTCTCTTAAGCTGGCGCATTTCTGCATTCATCCATGGGTGAGTTTTTCTTCCATTTGACTGGAGCGAGAAGGTCAAGGGTTTCCTGTAATCCAGCACTTACATCAGAGACCAGATCATTACAGGAAGGAGTCAGATCTGTATTCAATTACTTATTATAAATGGTTTAAAACTTCTCAACTGTTTCTGAGTCAATGTAATGCTTTTTAAAGAGACTTTCAGGTACTTTCTTCTTTAGTTCTAAATTGATTTGAAAGAAAATACAGAAATGATCTGATATGAAAACATCAGAAATTTGTGTCACGCCTCCTTCTGACATGGCTGAGTGTAAATGTTTTAATGGTGTAAATGTTCTGAACTGATATCAGTGAAAATATACAGTTTGAAGGCTTTAAATGTGTTTACTGTCTGTAGAGGTTCACACCTGTTAATGTAAGCAAGAGTCCAGGGAGCTGATGGGCAGCTGGACTCTCACTAAAATTACATTATTAATTAAGCATTCTGCTCATAATTTAGACTTTTTTTTTCTTAAATAAAGTTAATTATCAGTATCATCCTCTGCTCAGCCTTTCAGAGACTCTCACAGAAAGGTGTGTAGAGGTGCTGTAGCAGAGCGAACTGTGATCAGTCTCAGCTCTCTGAACTTTAGCTTTAGTGTTTTTCTGTACAGATTATTTCCAGTGATGTAGCCGAGTAGCTCAGAAATATGTTCAGGTTGTGACAGCAGAAATACGAAAAAGTGACTAAGTAACTCAGTACTTAAGTAGTTTTTTAATGAACTACTCATTTTACTCTTACTTGAGTCATTTTATTTACTAAAACTTGTACTTGAGTAAATTATCACTACTGTAACAGTACTTGTACTTAAGTAGGGGTTTTCAGTACTCTTTACACTCCTGGTTGTTCCTCTTCCTTCATAGTTTTCTTGCCATCAAAAGTTGGTGTTGCTGCTGTTTGCTGCCTCTGAGGTCTCACAGCTGCTCATCACCTCAGTGATGAGGCTGGGACAGGAGGATTCTGCCTGGTGGTCTCAGGATTGCTCTGCTGGAAGTCTGCAGTTGCTAAAAGAGGAAGTGCTCAGCTTTCCCGATGCTGTCGCTACCAGAGGTGAGCAGAGAGATTCTCCTGCTGAAGTCTCTGTTTCAGAGACTCTGCACTGTGACGTCCTGCTCAGCAGGTCTCTGCTCTTTGGCCTGAGGTCTGTCATCACTAGGTGAAGCCAACAAGCCCCTGTCCTGTCCCTCCTCACTGTCGTGGCTGGTGGTCTGTGCTTTCTTGCAAGAGGTGTACCACCACCAGCCAGAACTAGTGCTCCAGAACTAGTGCTCCAGAACTAGTGCTCCAGGAAGTGCATATGGAACAAAAAATTCCCGTTAATCCAAACTGATATTCCTGAGAACAACAGAGGAGAATAAATGCAGAAGCTCAAATCTGACAGTTTAATTTGGAAACTAATAAAGAGTAAAGACACTGAATAGTTAATTTCAGTTTCCTGAATTAAGGTTAAACCTGGATTAGTTTATCTATTAATCCAGTTACACCAACTTTAAACCTAGTTTATAAATAATCACAGTTAGATTTAAACTTTAACATCATAATTTAATCAACCTGTCTGCTTTAGTTTTATAGAAAACTTAGATTAAAATTAATGTTGTTGCTTCATGACTTTAATCTCAGATTTAAACTTTCATTAATGATTCATTCCAACAATTTTGGACATAAGCAATTATTAAAAAGAATAACAGCTCACATATAATGGAAAACGTATGAAGGAGTGTACAGTATCCAGTCACTAGGACCAGGACATGAATGTTTTTATGACTATGATGTGATATTCATATACATATGAAGGTTTTAATGACAACGTCCATTGAAACTTTATCAGTATCAGCACAGGGTGAAAAACACTGACCATACATTTGAAAGAATGACAAAGAATGTCATTAAACGAGTCAGTTTTGTGGGAGGCTTTAGTGGCAGATGCGTTAGAAGTTCAATGCCGTACAACAAAAATGGGCCCAGAATACAAATGGTTTGCACTGATTGTTTTGGCTGGAGTCCAGATTTAAACCCTATAGAGAACATTTGGTCTCAGATTAAACACTGCCTGGATGTCCTTCAGACCCTCAGAAATAAATTGATTTGGGTTTCTAATTTTGATACTGTCATTATAGAAATAAACAATACATGATCTTCCATGATGTTTTGCTTATGTACTGTTGCCCTGACGTTTTGTTTTTTTACTTTGTTTTGTCTGCACTGTTTTAATATGTATATAATGCTGCCCTGCTGTACAGTGATTATCTGAGCCTCACCATAAGCGCTTCAATGCATGAATGTCCTGAGATGTGCAAATGACAAATAAACTAGACTAAACTTCAAACCTACTGAAGGGTAACATGCAGGGTATTGTGAGTAAGGACAGAGCGTGCGGATCAGTGAAGGGCTCAGCATATACGGACTGGTAGCAAATGTAGACCTTGTGCCTCTGTTTTGCCTGTGTGTGTTTAAAATGGGCTAAACTCACAGGTATACAGCAGCCTGGGCCTGGAGAGAATATCCCAGGATGGGATGTTTAAAATGACCAATAACTGTCCGACTGCTATAGACTCAGTAATACTTTACTATGTGAGCAGACCCTCATCACCGCCAGCTTGAGTCTTTTGCTCATTAGCCTGGCAGCATACACTGTGCTAACGTCACACTAGGCTAACGTCACATGGTAACAGTCTGAAACTGAGTGTATTACAGTGCAGTGGTCAGTTTCAGAAGGGTTTTATAAGGCAAGTTTGGGAACAGACAGACAAACGTAATATATTTAATTCAACAAATATCAAAATGTGATTATAGTTTTGAGATCCTACAAAATATAAATAGCTGCTTCTATGACACTTTGCCAATATTCATTGTAAAGCTTTCTGTACCTGTAAAAAAGAGAAACAGTTTCCAATCAAAAGTTAATTAATAAAGATGTTTGTGTAATAAAAGCAGTGTTTGACTGATCTCTTCACTCAGAATGATTCAGAATCGTTCATCATCTGCTTCTTCACATCTGTCCGAGAAATACAAATACAAAATCATCATTAGTGTACAAAATATATTATTATTATTATTATTATTATTATTATTATTATTATTATAGTTACATTCAGTTACTTATTATCTCAATTCTATGTGAAGTTGGTGGACAATGATTAAACAAAACAACTAAATAATTTGTTTTTAATATGATGTAAGATTAATAAATGTTCACTTACACACTGGAGGTTTTCACATCTGCTGGAGGCTGATAAGCTGAGGATGTAGGAGACACAATTATATGATCATATGTACAGAGTGTTGTATATATTTATGCAGTAAAAAGCTCAGACCTGGATCATCATGTTATCTGTGGTCAAGGATTACATGAGGGCTGTATATATATATATATATATATATATATATATATATATATATATATATATATATGTATATATATATATATATATATATATATATATACACACTTTTCATTCATTTATTTACTTGTTTGATTATTTTGTAAATAGAGTTATTGAATGTTCTAGCTAAGCTGTGCAGTGTGGGGCTTGTGCTGCAAAACAATTAAATATTTCTGTTAGTTATGACAGTTTAATGTAATGTTAAATTATTTGTCATTAGTTATTGTTTATGAAGAAAGTTCCTGTGTTAAACCTGCGCTGGTTAGATAAAGACAATATATAGAAAAGCAATGCTTTTTCCAAATGAGCTGTGTCCCTCTACGGCATGATAATCATATTATAACCTATTGCTGACAGCAGTGCAGTCATCTTTCTGCACATTTCAAAGCACTATAGGAGTAAAAATAAAACTATAGCAACATTAAACACACATTAATGAGAGAACAGGTTAACACAAACCCAACAACCGACACAGCACTTTATTATAGAGCATCCACTGCTCTGTCAAGGTATCAGGTTTTCTCCTGTACAAAACCCCCAAGCACATCTTTTGTGTGTCTGAGACTTAAAGTACATTCACAAGAACACTAGATTAGAAAAAACATCACTCACTCTATGAAATCAGCATGAAGACTGTGGAGTTGTTGGATGATGAGTCTCCTTAAGAGGCTGTAAAACACAGACATTTAAACACTTGATCCTGATAAAGCAAAGCTGAACAATGCAAATACATAAACCATAGGTTTTAGTACAACATAAATATCATAAATGCTCACATACCTGCATTTCAGTTTGCTTCTTTTCAGTTTCCTTCCTTTCGGTTTCCTTCTTTTCTGTTTCCTGCATTTCATTTTCCGTTGTTTCAGTTTCCTGCATTCCCACATTTGAAAGACAGATAAAGAACATTGAATTCAAATTGTGTAGTACATCATAAAACCTAAGCAACAGATTTAAAAATATTATCTACAATTTTAAGTGTCTACACTTCTTTTCACAAACTGGACATTTGCCTCCGTCCTCCTTACCTGCTTCTTCTTCAAGATGAAAAATCCAACACAGCCGATGAGGATGAGGAGCAGAAAAAACACAACTGCACCAACAGGGACACCATCCAACCCTCCATCTGACCCTCCACCTGAAACACCAGAGTTACATCACTGTAAACCTCCTTTATCTACACACATGCAGTGATTTTTTACATTCACTAAAAAGAGGCTTAGAATCTGTTTTCTCTTACTTGGCAGGACTTGGCGATCAGACACTGGTAGCACCATCTCCTTCTCCAGGCTGCTGTGCTGAATGATGCAGGTGTAGTTGTGTTTGTCCAGCTCCTCAGGTGAGACAGTCAGAACGCTCCTCTTCTGGAAGGTTCCATCCTGGTTGGGTAGCGTCTCTCTGAGATCCACGTCCTCATGCAGATCCTCTCCATTCTTCTGCCAGGAGATCATCACTGCTTTGGGGAAGAAACCTGTAGCATGACACACCACTGGAGAAGAAGAGTCCTTCTGGAACAGAGACGCCTCAGGAGAGACTGGAGAGAGAGAGAGAGAGAGAGAGAGAGAGAGAAAGAGAGAGAGAGATGAGGTAAACATTAACATTAAAAAGGAGACATTTTGACACGTATTTATTAGTTTTGTATATTTCACTGGCGTTGCTCGTGTACACTGCTGATAGAAACATCTCATCTTGTCTCATGACTGTCTGAACTACAGCAGCTGCTTTACAATATCAATATTGATTAGTTGTATGTCAACACGACCCAGAAATGCCACTTTCTTCTCATTTAAAATGGACTGAGGCAAAATGAAAAACTGTTCTGTGGTCAGATGAATCAAAAGGTGAAATTCTTTTTGGAAACCATGGACGCTGTCTCCTACAGACTCAACAGAAGACGGACCATCCAGCTTGTTATCAGTGCACAGTTCAAAAGCCTGCATCTCTGATGTTATGGGGCTGCATTAGTGCCTATGGCGTGGGCAGCTTACACATCTGGAAAGGCACCATCAATGCTAACCAGTATATCGAGGTTTTAGAACAACATGCTCCCATCCAGACAACGTCTCTTTCAGGGAAGGCCTTACATATTTCAGCAAGACAATGCCAAACCACATACTGCATCCATCACAACAGCATGACTTCACAGAAGAAGAGTCCGGGTGCTGAACTGGCCTGTCTGCAGTCCCGACCTTTCACCAACAGAAAACATTTGGTGCATCATGAAACGAAAAATCCAGTAAAGAAGACCCAGGAACTGTTGAGCAGCTAGAATCCTACATCAGACAAGAATAGGACAACATTCCTCTCCTAAAACTCCAGCAATTGGTCTCCTCACTTTCACAGATGTTTACAGACTGTTGTTAAAAGAAGAGGGGATGCTACACAATGGTAGACGTGGCCCTGTCCCAACTTTTTTGAGATGCGTTGCTGCCATCAAGTTCTAAATGAGTTTGTTTTTCATGAAATGGTAAAATGTCTCACTTTCAACATGTTATATGTGTTCTATGTTCTATTGTGAATAAAATATGGGTCTATGAGATTTGCAAATCATTGCATTCTGTTTTTATTTATTTACATTTTACACAGCATCCCAACTTTTTTGGATTTAATATAATTTAAAATTTTGTATTTGATATAAAGCATCTGGAACCCTTTTCCACCATACTAGTACATTTTGTAGCATAGTCTAATCAGTGAACATACATATATTGCACCTAATGAACATATTGTACCATATTCTGATGAACTGTACATATTTCAGCACTAGACTGTATTATTCAATAGTTTGCTGCATAGTCCATTGTAACAATGAGGCAGATGAAGTGGCATGATGCAATTGCAAGTCTTTGTTTTATTTAAATTCATAACGAAAAGAATACAAAAGCAACAAAACAGTATAAGGAACAATACAGATCAAAATAGGGATGCTATGTTTGGTTATCGATTATGATTATCGAGTATGTAGATGAAATCCAGTCGAAGCTCTGTATTGAAACTTTATGATTTTTAGGGAATCATTAGATCAGTGACAAACGAGGCCTCGGTTTCTGCCCAAACTGCTTTGGTTTGCATATCTAAAGATTGGACCATGTTACTCAGGAATGTAGTTAGAAAAATTAGAAATTGTGAGTTTATGAGCTAAACTTGACATTGTGGTAAATAAAGACTGCTCAGAATGTCCCGGGAGCGTTTGAGTGGACTCACCATAATGAGCATTAATTTATGAAATTAACTGTGATCTTGTGATGACATCATTTGCCTCAAAATGTAAAAAGAATTTAAAATCAAAAGATAAGATTTTCTCATCAGCAACGTATTCAAATATTATTCAAACTTATTCAAATAAGTATAACAGGAGAACTACTGTTAACATTATGATTAGCAGCAGAAGACTGTTATAAAGGGAATTAAGGGTGTGATGGTGGAGGATGTAGATGTGTGGTCTAACCAGAGATTATGGTCAAGCTCTGCTTAAGCCCAACACAGTGACAGAAACAGATCAGCTCACACACTTTACCTTTCCCCTCCAGAGTGGCTCTGCCAAAATCCACATACTTCTGTAACCACTCGATACAGGTGTTCTCCAGAAAGCTCTTATGGCTTGTGGCTTTAGGTGTCGTCTCCCACTCCTGTTTTATAATCACAGCTTTATCGTTGGCTGCAGTCCATGTCACAGTATTCAGATCCAGACTGAGGAAGTCTTCTCCATCATAACCAAATTGGCTGTATCCACTCTTGGTTCGATTATCATGCAGTTCACAGCCGTACATCCACTGCCATGTGTGAACCCCTGAAAAGACAAATATGTGCCCATCAACACTTAAGTCGTCTTCCTCTCTATCTTTATTTAAACATTCGCAGGACAAGAAAAAACAATGTATTTTTTTGTTATTTCACTTTTATAATTTTGTTTTTATTAAAGTATACAAATTATGTAATATTGTGAATATTATGGACATGGAGAAGGCTTATGATCGTGCTCCCAGGGATGTCTTGTGGGATATCCTCTAGGTCCTATTCAATCTCCGTACTCCCAGAGTGAGAGTTGTGTCTGTATACCTGGCATTAAGTCAAGCTCGTTCAGTGTTAGTACTGGACTCCATCAAGGATGTGCCTTGTCTCCACTCCTGTTGGTGATATTCATGGGTGTCAAGGCGTGGCTGAAGCCAGAAGTGCATTAAGTGTGGAGGCCGGAGGGTGGCATCTCTACAGTTTGCGGATGATGTTGTCCTTTTGGCTGGATCATATAGATACCTTCAGCACTCACTGGAGTGATTTGTACCTCCAGGTAAGGGGGACGGAACTGCCCCAGGTGGAGGAGTTTAGTGTTCGGAAGAAGGATTGTGAGTTAGGCTGCAGGCTGGGACAGGTGGCAGCAGTAATTCGGTCACTGTACTGGACTGTAGTGGTGAAGTGAGCATGAGCCATAAGGCAAAGCTCTTTGTTTACCAGTTGGTCTACATCCTGACACTCACCTATGGTCATGAGCTGTGAGTAATGACTGAAAGAATGAGATCATGAATACAAGTGGTGGAAATGTGCTTTCTACACAGGGTGGAAGGCTACACTCTACTTGATATGGCGAGGAGCTCGGAGTAGAACCACTACTCCTCCGCATTGAGAGGATGCAGTTGAGGTGGTTTGGGCATCTGATCAGGATGCCCCCTGGATGCCTCCCAATGGGGGTTTACCAAGCAGGGCCTACTGGGATGACACCCCGGGGTCATTCTACGACTGGAGGAATCTCCAAATTGGCCTGGGACCGGCTTAGGGCTCTGTGGAATGAGCTTGAGGAAGTTGCAGGGGACAGAGTCGTCTGGGATTCTCTGCTGTCCCAACTGCTACAGCAACCCTATCTGGACAAAGTGGTTAAAGATGATGATGATGATGATTGTTTTATTTCTGTTTCTCTAGAACTTGCCATCAATTTGTTCATATTTGTATATAGTTTGCCTCTGTGTCTGAGAGTGTTGTGTTTCTGTTTTTGGAAGCAGAAATGGCATCAAGCAGAACAATTTGTTGCCTTTTTCAGTCTCTTGCATTTTTTATTGTATACAAAGAAAGGCTGGACTGGGTTTCACCTACATGTCTCAACATCTGCAGTCATAGTGTTCTTTGTTTATCAGTGCACAAACAGGAACACAAAAGAGAGCAGTAATAGGAAATGGAAATGAACAGTAAATGGTGCAACCTGTGACATATACAGTTAGGCCCAGAAATATTTGGACAATGACAAGTTTTGGCATTTTAGCTGTTTACCAAAACATATTCAAGATACAGTTGTATGGCTGCAGACTCTCAGCTTTAATTTGAGGGTATTCACATCCTAATTGGAGGAAGGGTTTAGGAATTACAGCTCTTTTATTATTTTTTTCAATTTTTACCTGATTTTCTCCCCAATTTTGTCGTCTCCAGTTCCACCCGATAGTTAGGACTCCCCCAATCACACACGACGCTATCAATGCTAGGAGGGTGAAGGCTAACACAGGCTTCCTCCGAGACCTGTGAAAGCTAACAGACGCCTCCGCTGACTAGCATCGCGCTGAGTGAGTGATGGGGGAGAAGGGCAGCCATCCCACCCTGGAATTACAGCTCTTTAATATGTAGCTGCCTCTTTTTCAAGGGACCAAAGAACATCATACCAGCAGTAAAACATGGTGGTAGGCCTGTGACTTGCTTTAACTAACAGAACAATTAATTCTGCTCTTTACCACAAAAGTCTGCAGGTCAATGTCCATGATCCAAAGCTCAAGTGCGACTAAGTTATGCAGCAAGACAACTATCCAAAGCAGAAGAGCAGGTCAACCTCAGAATGGGTTGAGAGAAACAAGGTTTTGGAGTGGCCTAGTCAAGGTCCTGACTCGAACCCCATTGAGGTGCTGTGGCAGTCAAGTAAGGGCTGTCAAGTTGATTCCTACTCCTGGTGACAATATGGCTAACACTTCTCCATAATATCTTCTGTTTGTTGTCAGGCTTTCAGACTGATTTATGATTGTAGATTTAGCTACAAGATGGATGATGTATCCGTCTGTGTTCCAAGCAGAATGTTCTTTACCAATTCATTCATTCTTCTCCAAAATAAGAACTTCAGTTTGGTCGTTTGGGCTTCAAAGTAAGGCTTTTTACCATCCAAAGTTCCCTTAAAAGTCTTCAGCATCAAAAAGGGGAGCTATAAAGGGCATCTATGTTTTGCTGTCTTGCTTGCTTATTGTCCTGCATTCACATCCATAAAGAACCACAGAAAAGTACACAGCCTGGAAAATTCTGATCTTTGTCTGTGGAGACAAATTGTTAAATCGTTTGAAGATCTTTTCATGCTCCTTCATCTTTCTTCTGCTGAGTGCCAGTCTGTGTTGTATTTCTTGAGTGCTGAATTCTCAGTCGTTAATAACTGAGTCGACCATTTCCACATCTTCTCCACTGGCGATGAAGCTAGCAGCAGTGTTTTCTGCTGTTATAATCTTCGCCTTTTTCAAATTGAGCTGAAGTCCCATCTTTTCACTTTGTCCCTTACTCTTCTTTATCAGGGCCTTC